AATATATATACAGAAAACTGAAAATAATATAATGTGATCAAGGTTGGCCAAACAAGACCACACTTTCATTATGTTCAGATTATTTATATGTACATGTATATATATAATTACATTACATAGATTTTCATACATTCTGTATTTAAAATTTTCCAAGGCTTTCCAAAAGTAATATTTTATTTCAAAAAAAAAATTCAACATCTACATGTATGACTGGATGTGCTGGCCATGACAAATTAGAAATAAAGCACAGAAAAACAAATAAAAGGCCTGATTAGATTGGCAATGTCATGGCTTAAAGTGTAGTTTTAAAAATTTAATGCTTCTTTTTGTAATTTTATAGGGTTGTAAAGGCATTGAACATGCACACATTTTTGTGCGCTTATATTTAAATTGACTAACTAGTACTAGTAGAATGGCCAAAAAAAAAAATAGTTTAATGTAATCAAATTAAAATCTTAACAGCTAAGTACAATATTAGTTAATCCATGATGGAATGAGGACTTGTAGACGTTTATTTTCATTAAATCCTATTAAAGCCCTTGATTTATTTATTTCAATTCAACTTCTAAAATTGAGAATGGAAATGGGGAATGTGTCAAAGAGACAACAACCCGACCATAGAGCAGACAACAGCCGAAGGCCACCAATGGGTCTTAAATGCAGCAAGAAACTCCCGCACTCGGAGTCGTCCTTCAGCTGGCCCCTAAACAAATATGTATACTAGTTCAGTGATAATGGACGTCATACTAAACTCCAAATTATACACAAGAAACTAAAATTAAAAATGATACAAGACTAACAAAGGCCAGAGGCTCCTGACTTGGGACAGGTGCAAAAAGCAGCGGGGTTAAACAAGTTTTTTGAGATCTCAACCCTCCCCCTATACCTCTAGCCAATGTAGAAAAAACAAACGCACAACAGTACGCACAGTAAAACTCAGTTTAAGAGAAGTGGGAGTCCGATGTCCATATAACATATTTATGGAATTTTTAAATCCTTAACATATTCACAAGCTATTAGAGCTTTTTATACGCCCGTTTACAGGATGTATTATGGTATACCTTTGTCCATCCGTCTGTCTGTCTTTCCAGTTTTCGGACAATAACTCAAAAATGCTTTCATCAGTTTTCGTGAACTGTGGTGAGTTGTTTATATCTATTGACGTAAGTGCCCTTTCGATTTTTATGAATTTTAGATTGTACGTTTCCGAGTTATGGGATTTTATTAATAAAAAATGGGGGATTTTCCAGTTTTCGGATAATAACTCAAAAGTGCTTTGAGCAGTTTTCATGAAACTTTGGTGACTGTTGTATATCTATTAAAATAACCTCCCTTTAGTTTCTTTTATAAATTTCGGAATTGGCATTGAGGAGTTATGGAACTTTATTCTTTGAAAAGCGACGGGCGTATCATGCACTCATGGCGCAGCTCTTTATTAACATGTTAACTCGTTAATTTTGAAAGCTGTAAAAAAATTTAGTAAATTATTTCATTTTTGTCTCACATGGAGAAAGTTGAAAAGGCGTGACTTGGGCTGTGGTGTTTCCAGCTGCATTATCATCAGTTAGAATTTATTTGGCCTGACCCCTTAGTTTTGGTTCCTTGACTTTTAATTTTTTTCATGGTTTACATCTAATGACATGTTAAAGGTTTTGATTAGGTAAGTTTAAATTAAGGGGAACCTAATTATGGCAAGGTAAGTCAATGATATTTGGTATGCAGTTGTATTAGTATTGACACATCTCTGATAATTTCCATGGAGATTATCTGTTCCTGCTCCCTCAGTCATGGTCTTTTGACTTTTGCTAAAGTTTAAATGTTACAGTTTGTGATTAGGTCAGTTTAAGATGATGAACCACTAATGGTAAGTCAATGAGATTTGGGTTGCAGTTATATTAGCATTGGCACTTCTCATTTCCAAGGGGATTATTTTGACCTTCTCCTCAGTTGTGGTCTATTAATTGACTTTGAAACTTTTGAATAGTTTACATGTATGTTAAAGTCTTTGATAAGGTCAGTTTAAGATGGACCACTAATAGTAACTCAATGATATTTGGTATGAAGTTCAAGTAGCATCGTCAAATCTCAATTTCATTGAAATTATTTGGCCTGACCCCTCAATTATGGTTCATAGACTCTGAAACTTTTGCATCGTTTTCATGTCATGACATGCTGAAGTTTGAGGGAACCACTTATGATAATTCAATGATATTTGGTATGCAGATGTATAAGAATTTGCATATCCATAGAGATTATGGCCCTTTACCTCCAGTCATGGTTCTTTGACTTGAAAAGTTTTTCATATTTTACATGTTAAAAGTTTTACTACCAAAATTTCCTCAGACGAAAACTTTCTCTGTGTCATCAGTTTGTGATAATTCAGTACATCAGCATGATCAGACAATCTGTTACTTTGTATGTATTGCCATCATCATGATCATTGTAAATGTATTGAATTCAATTAATTACAGGCGAGACATACATGTATCTTCGTTACATTCAGTACATTACACAACCTGTTTTATTGTATGTATTGCTAGCATTGTAAATGTATGGAATTCAAACATGTTTGATATTGTATAAAGTTACATTTACCATGTTTACCATAATTACGTTCATGAGATTTGTAAATATCAGTTTTGTAAGAGTATGGAAATTTGAAGAAAAAAACAATGGTTATGTTTGGTAAATTCGTCAAGATACAATCATTATAGTACTGTAATACTAGTACTTTAATAGTTAAATCCATAGGGCCAAAAACCAGCTCAATTCCCAATACAAAAAGGTGTTTTTTTTCCAAAATTTTCCAAAAGAAGAAAGAATGGTTATCAACTTCAACTATCTCAGCTTTAATATCATTTACTTTTCAATTATTTTGATTATATAAACTATTTTGATTTTGTAACTATGGCACATACCGTGATACAGACCAAGTATCTTAACTGGTTCTTGAAAGACTGAGGGTTCATTGTTAGCACAGGAAAGATAGGCACACTGCTGTTTCGCTTTTGTTTTCAATATAAGCAAGCACCTATGTTTTGTTATATATATATATATGCTTGCTTTTATAATAAGGATAGTTATATATACAAATTATGCATGTTATGAGTCGGAGAAACTTTTTCACATGTATATTCTAAAATTTTGGTTCATATTTGATGTCATCATGGTCATATGTAGGAATTGACTTCATATGAATGAATAACAAAATGTGATGCATGTTTGATACTGGCGACAAAAAATTAAGGCTTGAAATTTTTATTGCAACAAGAGTTTGGAGGCAAGCAGAGTCCTTGATAAACCTGTCTACCGTCTATGTGATAATAAATGACTATTTTACAAAATTGTGCGGCTTGATTGGGCTTCAACATGGTCAAATCTGACTTGAGACTTTGATGTCTCATTTAAACAACCTGTGACCATGGTGACCTTTAAAATCTTCAAAACCTCACTTAAATTTTCTAAAAAGTGACTGGTGACATGAGGCATCATTATAAGCAACTACGTCCTAAAAAAAAGGGGGGTACCCTACTGGAGCCCCCTGAATGGTAGTTATTGTTATTATTTATGCATAAGAGCAAGATGTTACATAAGAAAATTAATAAGAAAGATGTTGCAAATTGCAAAAAAGGAAGCATTTTGTATATTTATGGAATGACTGTAATATTTTTTTCTGTCTATGAATTAAGAAATAACATAAAAAATGTGGTGCACACTGAATATGTGGGTTATATAAAAGTATGCACCACATTTTTGATGCTGTTTCAAATAGACAGAAAAAATATTACAGTCATTCCTTATACATGTTATAATTTAATTCTAAATTCCATTTTTAAGGATCCGGAGTAAATCACGAAAATAACATTGATGATCTCACGGTCACATGACAAAATTATGTCTATGAGCTAATAGACAAAAAACTTTCAGCCAATCAGAAGACGTGTTACATCCATATTAAATTATATTAAAATGTATTTAATTCATACTTCTAATCCGTATAATAAACCATCAACTTAGTAAGGCAGGCAAGAACCTGCATGAATTTCTGGACCCTATTGAAACATAATTGTACTTCAGTATTTGTCCTGATCAGTAGTTACGTCATTAACTGAATATTATCTTTCAGAATCAGTCCAGGAGCTTAGCTGGTTGGTTGGTTTCCCACAGTTATTTAATTAGAATGCTTGGCAGTAAATTCAGTTTTTCTGTATTTTCATTCATTTAAAATTAACATTAAATAAAGTACTGACTGGGTGAAAAAAATTTCCAGACTTGACAGTATTACACCTTATTGATTCCTGCATCATTTGCAATTTTTGAGAGAAGATTAAAACTTTGAAAGACCCATGTACTCCATTGAGCTTACTGACATAAAATAACTTCGATTACTTTATGAGGGTCTAGATTGTTGGACTGATGCAATTATTTATGCTGTATGGTCAAAAGGAGGAAGCTTAAGGAAAGGGAAATCCCAATGTGACTGAATAATCAGTACAATTAAAAATTCCCAATTTGGTCTTTTTTGCATGTAAAACTTCTAATTGAAAAGGCTAGGTCCTTAATTTAAAAAAGGTAGACAATTAAAAGTCCTGAATCCATGTAAGAAATTGAAGAAGAGAAGTAATTTGTATTTATAACATATATACTTTATATGTTATTGCCTTCAAGATAATGATTTTTGTTTTTAAGAAGTCAAATTTCAAAATAAAGTCATGAAATGAAAGGTACAAAAAAATGCTGAGACATTTTCACTCCAAATGTAAACTTTTATGATTCATTGTGACCTTGATGAACTTTGGAATTGTCCCAACCTTAGTTACTTACAAAACGAAAAAAAAATAACATCTACATGGAATACGTATATAACTAGATACAGTTTAAAAACACTAAAATGCCTTTTATTTCCAGTTTTCACATCAAAGTATGAACGTTATCATAACGTTCTTTGTAGTTTAGGTTTGAATATAAGATTAACATATAAAATGTTTTTATCTTTACAGATGATTTGTTTGTGAAGAGGAAGGCATCATATATTTGGGCCAATGAAGTCTGGGGAGCCATAAGAGGACTAGAAACTTTCAGTCAGCTGGTATTTAGAGGTGTTGATGATGAGGTACTAATGCTCTCTTGAAATTAACTAATACATTGAACATTATTCATGTTATCCGTCCAATTTATTGAATAAAAAAACAATTTTCTTAACCTTTTCAAAAATGTTTAATATGAAATGTTTAGATCCAATTTTGAAAGATCATACATGTGCATTGCAGTTTGGGGATCTAAGAGAAAAATGTAATCTGTCAAGTTTCCATGTTTAAAATGTGCTTTATATATTCTATGTCATAATGTGTGCCTGTCCCAAGTCAGGAGCCTGTAATTCAGTGGTTGTTGTTTGTCACTGTATATTATATTTGTTTTTCGTAAATTTTTTTGTACATAAATGAGACCGTTATTTTTCCTCCTTTGAATTGTTTTACATTTGCCATTTTGCTGACTTTTATAGCTTGCTATGCGGTATAAGTTTTGCTCATTGTTGAAGGCCGTACTGTGACTTATAGTTGCTAAATTCTACATCATTTGGTCTCTGGTGGAGAGTTGTCTCAATGGCAGTTATACCACATCTTCTTATTTTTACAATGTCAGTCTGGTGCTTAGAGATTTGAATTGAATGTGAAGAAATAACAATATGTCCCCTTCTGGATTTCCTACCAAAAACAGGTTTATTTTTGTCAAATTAAAAAATTACATGACTTGAAAATTCTTTCACACAACACAGAATTATAGAAAGCAATTTTGTAATGTTTATTTTAGTTATACATCAAAGACACCACAATAAATGACTACCCAAGATTTCAGCATAGAGGGATACTTCTAGATTCCAGCAGACATTTTATGTTTAAAGATGTTATATTTGATGTACTTGTAAGTATGCATGCTAAAAAAAAATCTGTTTATTTATATTTACATTCATGCTTAACATAACTTAATTTATTGAACATACATGCTTAACATAACTTATTTTATTGTACATACATGCTTAACATAACTTAATTTATTGTACATACATGCTTAACATAACTTAATTTATTGTACATACATGCTTAACATAACTTAATTTATTGTACATACATGCTTAACATAACTTATTTTATTGTACATACATGCTTAACATAACTTATTTTATTGTACATACATGCTTAACATAACTTTTTTTATACATACATTGTGTACAATATATAATAGCACAATACAAAATTAGAGGAGATTCAAATAATAGATACATGTATTTTTTATGTCTCCAAAGAAATAGTTATATCTAACAGGGCTTTCACTAAGGTTATCAGATATAAAAAGAATACAAATTAATTGTGGACAATATAATAAACATATATGAATGTGGGTCTTATACTTATATAATTAATAGAAATTACTGATGACACTTGAACTGATTATTGTGGAATGGGCATGTAATTGTGGTTTTTCAAAATTGTTTATGATAGCTGCCAGTTGAGCTATATATACAAGCTCCATATAGTATCATGTCAGAAAATTGCTTCTCTTGACACCTGATTCATTGGTACATAAAACTTCATATACATGTAGAAGAAAATGTATTTTTACAGAATTGCTTCAAAAACAAATTAAAACTGCCTGATCCTTCTAGTAATAGTAATCTGTTATGTTTGTTGAAAATCTTTATAAGACACTGACAAGATATAAACTCTTTTTGAGTTTTGTGAACTGTTTGTTTGTCTTTTTCTTTTTAGCCATGGCGTTGTTCGTTTATTTTCGACTTGTGAGTTTGAATGTCCCTTTGGTATCCTTCGCCTCTCTTTTTGATATTAAAATGCCATCTTCTGATGCAATATTTCCTGGAAAAGATGGATTGAGATACTCAGGATCCTATAAATGGAAAAGAAATATTTTAAACAGCATCCGAGTCTGATTTTAATTGACTAGGATTGCCAGTTTTCCTGCTACTCCTAGCTCTTCGGCTTCCTACCTTTATTAATAAAACACCAACAATCAATCTACAGACAATAAAACACAATGATGCAACATTTTGAATAAAATATTTACTGAAATAGCTTTTTGATCATCCGAAAGTAGATATGTTTGATATCATCTATTACTTATAATGACATTTGAGTCTGTTCCATGTGAAAGATCCATTTCGACATGGTGGAGACTAATATGTATGGAACTGAACAACTATCTAGGGCATACTATTCTAACCAAAATATGAGAAATAAAGATTTCATATCTCATTCCATGGCAATTATTTAGCCTCACTCAAATTACTAAATGTACACTATTTCATTTGAATAACATTGATAGCTTCAGGAGGGAGCAGACCCCCTGCCTTGTTTATTCATGAAGCCAAGCTAGGTCTATATACTTAAAGTTGGATCAGTACGTACCAGTGTGGGTTAATTTGATCAGAGGCCTTCAATAGTGTATCCACAATCTTTATCTGACTAAATTCCTTATGTAAACACAGAATAGTATGTTTATTGGTTATATAATTGCTATTCATTGCTTAAAGATTAGTTCAAATTGATTGAATAGAAAGCGTAGCTTTTAAACCTTTATTTCCTTAGAACTGTTCCCTCTATATAGCAATGATGCCAAAGTCAATTATGAGAAAGTGATAATTCTTGGAAATAAAGAATGTGTATAATGTGTCCAAATCAATACATATAAAGTTAAAACATATCAAACCAAATTAACCAATGGATCTATTGATTGTGATGGCCTTGTGTTTAGCTATAGACATTGGAATTAGAATTAAATTCAATTTGGCCATGTCTTCAGACTACTCCATCAACAATTATCCTGTTTTCTTGTCTTTTGTAAATTGATTTGAATGTTTACCTTTCTTCTGTGATTTTAGGCAATATCTACCTTCAGGGAAGAGTATAAGTAATCATCTTTTAAAAAAAATTTGTTGCAGAAAATTTATTATACCTTCAGTTGTACAAGTTTTATAGTTGGTGCAGACTTTTTTTGAGTAAATATGGACAGACTTTGAACTTGCTGTTTGGTGTGAGCCAAGGCTCTGTGTTGAAGGCCGTACTTTGACCTATAATTGTTTACTTTTAACACATTGTGACTTGGATGGAGAGTTGTCTCATTGGCACTCATACCACATCTTCTTATTTAGACTTACTTTATTTCATTTTTGTTACCCTTTACCGTATAGTCTGAAAATGTAGAAATTCCGTTGATGGCATGTCCAATTGTCGATTAACCTTCTACAAAAAAATCTTATTTTTACAGTTTGTTTTTATATTGTGCTAGTTCAACACTGTCCAAGGTTAGAGGGAGGGTTGAGATTTTGCAAACTTGTTTAACACCGCCACATTTTGTATGTGCAGTGATTGTTATTAATTGCTGTCTGTCATATTTGTGGATATACATTGTAAATGGTAGATAACTCTTTCTGAAAGGCATACAATTTATCTTAGCTGAAATGATTGTATTTTGTTTACAAAAATATTTGCATTTTACTCTCTCAAGTATTTCATTTGAATAGCTTGATATCAATTATATAAAGAAATGTAAATTTTTCAGTTTTACTAGCATACTTTATTAAACAAGGAGATGTGGTATGATTGCCAATGAGACAACTATCGACAAAGACCACAAGATGAGGATGTAAACTTTTAAAGGACCACTTAAAATCTCTCAGACACTTATAGTTATGATAAATAATGTTTAAATGACAGCTCAAGGTTATTTAGAGTTCATCAATGGTCAACAATTATTCATCACTGGTTGAAATAGTCAGACAGTGTAGAGTAGTAATAAGATTAGTGTAACCCCACCATGTATAAACATACCTGTCCTAAGTCAGGGGATTGATATTTTACTGCCTTGGTGGTCTCCTGCTAGCTTGTCCACCTCTAGTGTGTGAGGTTGTACGTCATAGTCAGAATGTGTTCAGGTAGGGTAACATGTCTTCCTGCTGACTGTTACACAAAGAACTAGAAAATTTAATATCTAAGTCTACTACAAAGCATTTCAAATATTTTATTGAATTCAGGAACAAAGTAACAATAAATCTAATAGGTAGATTGGTCAATTAATTGTTACAAAAATTATTTTAACACACAGAGAACTTCACACTTTCCCTAGATAAGAGAGGCATAAGAGAAGCTAGGTTAAACATTTTGTATCTTTAGAAACCCTTATGGACCAGCAACTTAGAGATTATATTGCTCTCTGATGTGAGGGAATGCTTATTATTGTAGGACTTGTATGAACATGATGATGAGCAATATTTTTACCTTAATTGGATCTTTGTGTTATTGGGATTCTGTCATTGATATTTAAACCATGTAAATCTACTGTAATTTATATGACTAATTTACTAAAAAAACTGTATTCCTATGTTCATGATGTAGTCAATTGAAAAAAACCGGATTTGTTTACAAGTCATGTACCAATGCTATAAATTTACTTTTCTAAAGGGATGATATGTTGAAATGCAATAGAAATAGGTTGAAAATTTATGTTTTATATATTAACATTTAATAATGATTTGATAAACTTTCACTAATGTTATAAACTAGTTTCAAATGAATGATTTCAATCCATTTAAGGAAATGAAAACTATCAATTGCATTTAACTCCAAAGTTCAACGTCAATATAAACATTGCACTGTGGATTAATTTATTTTCGTGGGTACCAATTTTCAGGGATTGAGGAAATCTTGCATTTTCATTGATATTTATTTTGTGGTTTTACAAAAGTCAGCATCCATTTCTACAGAAAATTAGTAATTTGTTCAAAATTTTAATTTGTGGTTCCCCTGTAACCACGAAACGCACGAAAATTGGTGTCCAATGAATAATAATGAATCCACAGTATATATAAAGAATTATAATGACATTTTTTGTTTTGATACTGACTTCATCAGCAAGATTATCAAGCGAGCCCACAAGGGAGAGCTTATATCTGAGCTGATGAAGTCAGTTTAAAAAAATAAAATGCCATTATTTTTTTTTATTGGCAAGTTTATCTGAACTAAATGTTTTTTGTTTGAGAATATGAAACAAAGCGAATTTAAGTAAGTAAAACTATTTTTTTAAGGGTAGAAAACGTTATGATAGTTGTTTGGTTGTATGAATGAAGTGGCGTGCATTTCATTGATAAATTGATGCGGATGGGCATGAAGGTGTTACGTGAAGTCATTGCCTACTTTTTTTTCCAGTATTAGGTCCGGTCCATTATTAAATTATTAGGCAAAAATATCAAAGGGAAAATATACAAACTGCCTACAAATATATATACTAGGATCATTTAAGAAATATATCGTAAAACATTATCATTGCACCATTGCACATATGGACTGTCACTATAATACATTGCATATTATTTCTATTGTATCCATGTACATAAGATTAAAGTGTGCCTTAACCAGGGTTGCAATTGAATAATTCTTGCACATTTCAGTGATCCCTTCTATTTGATGTTTTATACATGAGTTTTTTTTAATGAACTCTTGTGATTATAGTTGAAGTGGCTATGGTAATAACCATTACTTGTGATATGATATGGTTGTTGTTGAATGAAACATTGAAATTATTGCTCTTTTTTTGCGCCCTCTGTAGATTTAGCTGAATATCAACAGTCATTTATTTGTAGAAAGCCAAAAAAAAATAGTAAAAAAAAAACAGCATTAAATAATAAGAGCCTTACTTCCTCAAACACTTATTGTCATTCATAACTTGATGGTTTTGTATATAAATAGACACCAATTAATTCCTCTTCCTGTCGCACTTTAAACCTCTCAAGGATAGTATATATATGATTCCTTAGGATAAATAGAAGTGAAGGATAGGTTAATCATTAGCATTGCAATCTTCCATTTATTTATCTTACATGTACCACCACTCATGAAGTAGGGGTGAACTGC